TGGTGTGTGTGTGTGTGTGTGTTTGTGCAGGGAGATGTGGCACTTGGCAGTGTCCATCCCACCACCACTTGCACACACTGATCTGAGTTTCCCAATTAACAATTTTCAGCAATAGGAAAAAAAGAACAAATGGGGAGGGTGTCGCACATCTAGGGATCAGAAGTGGCTCCTCCCCGCAAAGGAAGAAGCAGGGCAGCTCTCCCCATGCCAGGCTCCCCCTGCAGCGCTGCCCTCCCTTCCAGCCTGCACTGTGCAGCCTTTCACAATGCATGCCAGCTGCTGCTGTGGTCCTGCTGGAGCAGGGCATTCACTTTCCACATGGATTTCCATTCCCCCTTTGCAAGAGCAGGTCTGATGATGCCATTGTTTCTTCTTGGTGAATTCCTGTATTGATTGATTTCACTTTCAATTGGCGTTTGATCTAGACCCTCAAAGGCAGGTTAGTGACAGTGAAGGGGATTGATTTCCAGCTGTGCCTGAGCTGCTCGTCCTGTTGCTTCATCTGTGCATAAACCCTAAGCAAGACACTCAGATGATTTCTGACTTCTTCCGGCTTCAAAATCTACCAGCAAGGAATTTCCAGCAGCTCCATTGTTCTCCCGGCATGAGGCACTATGACCAAGAGGGGCTGACTGCATGTTATTACTGCTCTTGCAGGGCTGCCAGATGCCAGAATTGCCCCTCCTGCTTCGCAGACTCAGAGCTCTGCGGCTGCTCACCGTGCCCTAGGACAGTGCCCATTCATTCACCTGGTGAGGTCTGCTGGGAGAAGGGAAAGTGAGAAGCAGAGGCAAAGCCAGGCAGGGAGCAGATTCCTTTCCCTTTAATTTTCTGCATAGGAACTGAAGGAATGGTTTAAATTGAATGAAATTATTACTTTCCTGTATTTGAGGATGGGCACGTCTGAACAATTCTGTTTTCAATCTAGCCTGGGGCTGAATGGCCCCGCTGTCCCCCCACTCCTGGCTGCAGCTGTGGAATCCTACGAATGCACTCCTTTGCTCTCCAGGAAGAAAAAAATCCCTTGGAGCAAGCAAGAGGAGATGGAGCCAGCCCGCTTGCACTGCCTCCACCAAAATGTGCTCAGAGCATTCTGCAGCCAGTCTACGAAGGCTGAAAATCAAAAGAGGGTTGAAATTCACCCCAAGCTCAGCCACGGGGAAAATGTAACCCCCAATAAAACAAATAGAACTGGATCAGGTCCCAGAAATGTGTAAGAGAGGTTTGGCAGTTCTTCAGGCACTCATCAACAGGATTGGTAAGCTCACCAAGAGCAAGAAGGGAACAGAATTTGATTTCATGTTAATATATTCCTCCCTGTAGCCCATGTAGCTCAAAACGCTCTGCAAAAAGATGTCACTTTCCAGCACTTTTGCTCTTTGCTGCTATAATGCAGAAAGGAGCTGAACCAGCTCAACCCCACTGAAGGTGAAGAGCCGAAGTCGGTGAGCAGCTTTGGAAGGAAGAAGCTTTGGGGTCAGGGACATTGTGAGAACAGGGACTTGAGGTGGCCCCAGGCTCATTGCTGTTATTGCTGTCCTGTCTTTGGGCATGCTCAGAGAAATCAGCAATGCAGCTGAGTCCCATGCTGCAGCTGGACAGAAGTCATGAGGAGCAAGGCTTCTGGGTCCTGCAGAACGTGAGGAAGAAAGAGCATTGTTCTCCACCAGAAGGAAACCAGCATGCAGAGCAGCGTGTGTGCAGGATTAGACACGGACATCCCCAGCATGCAGTCTGCAGGCTGCTGCCCTCCTCCAGAGCATCCTCTGTGCGGCTCCCACTGCACAAAGGCAGCACTGTTTGAGACGTTCGGGCACACGCGGCGCAGATGTTGCACAAAGGCAACCCACATCTGTTCTGCTGGGGAAGGGGCCCCTCTTGCAGCTTCCCAACGCACATGGGAAAGCCATCCTGTGTGCATCTGAGGTACAGCAGGAAGAGGAGGCAAGGAAAACCCAGCAGGCAGCGGCAGGCTCCAGCTTCAAACACTGTAAGTGGAGCATCCCAGAGACTGTTTGCTCTGGTGGTGCTATGTGCTGACTCCTGGGATTAAATTAGTGGGAATATGAGTTGCACCATAGATAGCATCAAGATGGAAAATGCCCTTTCCATCAATCATAGAACTGAACGTTTCGTGTGCCAGCTGGAAAGGTTTGGCAGGACAGACCCAGCAACATGTGGCAGCAGATCCAGCATCCCTTTGCCCCTGGGTTGCTGTGGCCACTTTTGTACATCTGATGGGGTCTGAAGGGGGCTGGGGCTGCCTCAGAGCTGGTGGCTGTAATTCAAGAGCTGTCTTAGTAAAGCCTCACTTGGCAAGCTGTATATCTTCCCCGGGCAGGATGATATAGGAAGATACTTAGCACTTGAATCATGGGCTCTGCTGGGGATTTCTTTCAGCTCGTGCTCTGGTGAGAAAGGGATTTGGTCTCCTGGCTGCTGTGAGCTTTCCTTTTGATAAACTCATGCATTTTCCAACCATAACCAGGAGGATGGTGCTGTGCCATTCCTGGAGCAGATGCCATGTGGTGAATTGTGTGGATGTGCCCCTATCAGCCCCACGTTCCTGGGCAGCTATGATGAGTGCAAGGCTTTGCATATTCTCCTGGGAGCGTGGGCTGTGGATGAGGATTTCTGGTGGCTGCTCAAGTGGTCTTTGTTAATTTGGCCACGGTGGGCTGCGTTGCCTGCTGTCCACACAATTCTGTGGTTTATTTGGCAGACTCCAGAGGGGAGTGGGTATGAATCTCGCATTTAAAGGCCATGTATTTCTATGGCATCTTTTGTGGTTTTAAGGCTGTTTCTTACATTCCTGGATAATGAAGTTTTGGGTTTGTTTTTCTTTTCTTCCAAGCTCAACAAAGCCAATTTGATGCACTTTGGAAAGCAATTGAAAACAGGCTTCTCTGCTGCAAATTCCGCCAAGGTTCAGGCGCCATGGGAACAAAGCATCAAGGATAAAATCCTCTGACCCACACTCAGAAAGTTTTTTATCCCTCCTGAAGGCCAGCCTGTGCCTTCAGGAACCCAGGTTGTGCTGTATGTTCACGTGATGCGTGAGCATTGCAACGTTGTTTGCTCCTTGGTGTCCTGGAATGAGCAGTACCTCTCTGAAGCCTTTTTATGGGCTTTTAGTTAGCTTGCCTGCTGGGAAATGTACCTAATTTCCAGAGAAGACGTGCTGCACTGTCAGTTTGTCAAGCTGGCAAAGTGGAACAGTATGTATGGTTTTCATTTCAGGCTGAATTGAAGCCATAGTTTCAAGTGCAGCATTTTTTACTGCACGAGCTTGGAGAAGTTCTCTTTAGAAAAGGATTTACCCATGGCTTGTAAATATAGCACCATTTCTGCAATGCTGTATCATCTAGGTTATTATTAAATTTGCAATATCGACTGCCAGAAATAACATATAGGATGTACTCACACTTTTTTTCCCTTATTACTGTCTTTGTAGCAGGGAAAACCAGGCTCTGCAAGCTGAGTAGGGAAAGGGCAATGGTGGTCCAGGCTCACACTGAAGGACTTCAGGCTTGACTGTAACTTGCAGTGCCTGAAGCAAACCTGCCCAGGGTGAGGACAAAGCAGTTTCAGGCAGTAAGGATGCTTCAACCACTCACTTTGCAAACCAACTTGACATTTTAAAGAAAGGATAATCATTACCATCCGTTTGGCTCCCTGTGACCAGCGATGCTTTCCCCCATTGGAATAAACAGGGTTTTTCCTATTGAACTTTCAGTGTTTCTCAAATGACTTCTGTGTGCACCCTCAAGGGTGTGAATTTATGTAATTACAGGTGGTCTTGGTGGCTGTGCACACACAAGGCTTTCCACACCATGAACGTATGAGTTCCCAAGTGCATTCATGAACATTGATGGCAGCACTTAAGGTCTGATTTTAGGAAAGCGAAAAACAGAGCTGTTGTTCTTTGGGTTGTTTGGAGCAAGGCTCTGAAAAATACTCAGATGTGTGTGAGGTTTCTGAGAAACTCCTGTTTATTTTTGTCCTGTGTTTCTAACATGGATCTGGAGATTTATGGGAGGAGGCCAGTGTAAGCTGAGTGTAAGCAAAGCATTCCTGTCCTGAGAAGCTATGGATGCTCTATCCGTTGAGATGTTTAAGACCAGGCTGGATGGGGCTTTGGGCAACTTGGTCTAGTGAGAAGTGTTCCTGCTCATGGCAGGCGGGTGGAACTTCGTGGTCTTTAAGGTTCCTTCCAACCCAAACCATTCTGTGGTTCTTGTGTGCTGCCTTCTGGAAGACACTGGCTGCTGGATCCCTCTCCTACAGCATTTTATCTCTTATTTTTTCAAGCTTTTACTCTTACAAACAATTCCTTATCCCTTCCTTGGCAGTGTATTGTCCCACCATGTTCTGCTGTGGATATGCTTGTACTTCCAAAATAAATAATTGCAAAGCAAAGAGGAACAAGGCCTTGTTCCCTACTTATTGTCTCAAGCCTCGTTTCTGAATTGCTGGGAAATGTCCCTGTAAAACAGATGGGTGGTGCTGGGCTGGAAAACAGAGACTTACAAAGTAGGTTGGCCATCAGCAAGGAGGAGATGAGAGCTTGGTACCAACACAGGTCGCAGCCAGCACGGTGGCTTTTCAGCTGGTGCTGTGATACCTGCAATGGCTTCAGGGCAAAGCAGACACAGTGGCTTAGTAATGCAGAAACTCCTGATGACTTTCTTCCTTCTGATCCACAGGCCCAACGACCGTGGAGAAGGACGGGGCTGAAGCACCCTTCCCTATTGGCTCTGCTAATCTTGTTGGCCCTGGCCCTGCTGGCACTCTCCTACCTCCCCTCTCCACCAAATGGGGACCATGGCCGGGCCCCTTCGCCCCATGTGGCACCAGCACCTCCAGCACCTGCATCGCTCCTGCTGGCACCCCGGCCCCGGCGAGATGTGGCCATCACCCCATGTAGGGACCAGCCCCCCAGCCGGGGAGCAAAAAGACACAGGGGGAAAGGACGTTGGCTGAGGCAGTGGGGTGCCTCAATGCCTTCCCCTTGTGCGGATCAGCCATGCAGGTGGGGCGGCTCACCTCAGGAGGACAGGCTGTGTTTTGGTGAGACAGTCCCACCGTGGCTCTCAGAGGATGACATCCAGAAGATGGAGCTGCTGGCCCGTGGCCAAGTAGTCTCTAAACGCCGTGTGCCAGCCCATGGGCAGGTCCTGCGCATCCGTCTGCGTGCTGATGGTGACACCCAGCCTGCCAGTCCAGGGGAGGACTGTGGGGATGGGCGATGTGGGCTCATCAAGCGCTCCACAGACCTCTATGAGGTGGTGGCCTTCCACCTGGACAGGGTCTTAGGGCTGAACAGGAGCCTGCCCGCAGTGGCCCGCCGCTTCTCCAGCCCCATCCTACCCTACAGCTATACCAATGGTGTCCCCCGGCCCCTCATCTGGTGGGCACCTGACGTCCAGCACCTGGAGGACACCAACAATGACCAGAACTCCTGTGCCCTGGGGTGGCTGCAGTATCAGGAGATGCTACGGTCCCACAGTGTGGCCCCGGTGGCAGGAGACACAGCCTGTGCAAGCATCCAGCGCGGTGAGTGGGGCCGCTTGGCGCTCTTCGACTTCCTCCTGCAGGTAGGGCTTGGGCGAGGGAGGCTGCCATTAACACTGCATGGGACACCAGGTCCTCCTGCACCTGGCCACAATTCTCTGTCCATCACATCTTTCTCTACCAGGGGTAGCACAGGAATTGTGTTTTCTTGTGTGAGAGTATCAAAACATGAGCCAAAATATCACTGCTGAGGTATCACTTGGCACTTTCTGGGATGTCCCAAAGATCATGGAATCATAGAATCCTTAGAGTTGGAAGGGACCTCTGAAAGCCATCTAATCCCCTGCCATAAACAGGGACACCACAGCTAGATCGGGGTGCCCAGGGCCTGATCCAGCCTCACCTTGAAAGTCTCTAGGGATGAAGCATCAACCACACCACTGGGCAACCTGTTCCAGTGCCTTCACCTTCCACACGACCCTGTCTCAGGTGGTGACTCTCACACATGACTTGGGCGAGCTTGTGGTGAGCAGCAGTAAACAGCAGAATTGAAAAACTGAAGAATATCTCCAAAACCTACACTGGTGCCTATCCCTGCCTTTGCACACTCAGTCATGAAGCAAACATGGCCTTTCAAGGAACATGGACACCTGTGGAGAAGACACTCTGCTGAGTCTGGCTCTGGATGGTTGGGTTTGCCAGGCAAAATTCAAACCAAAGAGGAAATTTTTTCTGTTCAGCTCCAGGGGTTTTAACACATAGTGAATCCTCCAGGCTTCAAGCCCAGGCAAAGTCCCTCTGACAACAAAAAGAAAATCCCTGCTACCTTTCCTTCATCTCTCCATCACAGTGCAGCACAAGAAGGCACAAGTCTATTTATTTTTTCTTTTCAGAGTAGGCTGTCTTTAAACAAAAAAATACATTTTTCGTGCTCATAAAGTGTGCATTTTCTGGAGGCTTTAGTTTCATAATTGCTGGGTTTTTAGAGGATATGAATGTCTGCTCTCATGTGGTACAGCTTCATCCCAGCGTGGCTTCCTTTGCCATCATGTGGGTGCTGCAGTGGCTCAGGACAGGGCACTGCTTGGCGAAGGCAGCATCTCCTGCACCAGCCCTGGGGCTTCCATGTGCTTGCTCCAGAGATGTGCTGCATGGGGGCCAGCACTCACACAGCTTTGTTTGGTAGTGCCTTTTCCTCCTCCTCCTCTTCCTTAGAGTGAACAGTGTCTTTTTCTGTCTGGAAAATCATAGCCTGTGCTGTGAGAGATTACTGCATGTCACAGGCAGTTATCACGTATTATGGGGCAACCTTGAGGAGGCAAAAGGGATTGCTATGAAAAGAAGACCTGTTCAGGCACCTCACAGCTGCAACTTCAATTAGTGGACAAGGGCAAACTATCTGAAAGGGCAATTATATATATAGATACATACATTTAAAAAAAAAAAAAAAAAAAAAAGGCAGAAAAAAGAGAAAAAAGACGATTAAATGTGTGCTTTCGTTACTCTTTTTTTTTCTCTTTTTTTTCCGCACTCTGACCATTAATCTTTATAACATCAGACTGTGGCTGGCAGAGGAGGAGCAGTCGTGGCTGGGCTTGGAAGTATTTTAGATGAAACAGCCAAACAAATGGGAAGATTAACCAACTCCTTTCCCTTCCCCAGGCCCAAATCCTATTGAGCACAGTGGAAAAGCTGAGTCTCCAGAAGCAAAAGCCATCCAGTTTTAAGGAAAATTTCCCTCAGAGGGCTGAAAGAGTGAAATGATATATCAAAGAGCAATCCACAAATTTTTTTCTTACTAGCTCCAATGGAATCCTCCCATGTGGAAAAATCACACAAAGAGGCACGAAGCCAGCAGGATGCTGTAGAAAAGAAATTACATCTTTCAGAAATGGCTCTAGCATCCTGCAGTACATGCTGGAGAGTGGGAAGCCATGAGCTTTGAGCCCTCCCATGCAGCCCTCAACCATGCATTGAGATCTTCATCGTCTTCTCGAAGGTTTTAGAATTTGACTTCTTCCCATCTGTTCTCCCTCCGTGTTTCAGAGCTTTTTGCTGAAAACAGGGAATGTAGAAACTCGGGACTTGATCCAAATGCTGTGGTAGTGGCCATAAATGTCTCCAGGGCTCTGCAAGTCCAGGAGTCTTGCACATGGTTCCCCCTGGCCTTCTTCTCTTTCTGGTGATGCAAGAGTTACTCAGACTTGTCAATGCTCTACTTGAGAGCTCCAGCAACCGCAGATTACGTTTGATAAATACCTTCCCCTCAAGGCTGCACAAGCAAAGTCCTGGTCCTTCCCTTTTTTTTTCCTCCCTATACCCAGCAGAAAGACAAAAAAAAAAAACAAATGCTGGTACTTCATCACCTGTTCAACACCCAGTCTACCTTGCTGACTCAGTCCTTCAGGATGCAGTGGTCCTGGTGGGCCCATCTTCTTCCTGATGATGTCTACCCCTCTGTTATGGGCTTTTCTGTGGCAATTTCCCCTTTCCTCTCCTATCAGGAAGCTGGAAGTGGTGGCTCTTGGTGATGGGAGAAGTGGTCCCCATCCCAGCCAAACCTGGAATCAAAGAGAAACTTAAATCAAAGGTGCTTTGTAACAGATCTTGAACTGAGCAGATGAGAGAAGGTGTGACTCATGTATCTGTGTTACAGCAGCAGGACCTGATGCACCCTTTGCGAGCGTCATTTGGATGTGAACGTAAGTGACACAGGGAAAGCTGCTGGGGTACAGCTGGTCAGAACTTTGGAGGTGCTCTAAATGTGCCACTACCCAGCTGGTCCATCTCTCAGGGCATTATCTGGGACACCAGAATCAGCCTCCACCATACACCTCGTGAGTCTGGCACCAAATGTCCTTGGTTTCAGATGTCCACGGGGGGCTGGAGGTGGCTGGGACAGGGCAGAGCCCCACTGTGCATGCTGTTCCCATCTCTCTTCTCCTGGGCTTTCTTCAGGCGCACTCCAACTTGACTCCCTGCCTCCAGCTGCTGGGAGTGCTGACAAACTTCAGAGGGGTGCTCGGGAAGTACTGACTCATCACCACCACCATAACCACAGCATCCTTACCGCAATGTCTCCTTCTCCTTCTTGGCGTCTTGGACTCAGGATTTCCACACCCCTGTGGCTTTTGCACAACCATGCTGGTTTGTTGGGAATTTGGCCCAAAACTTCTCCCAACCATAACTATCGTGGGCTTCTGTGTGGTGCCTACAGGACTGTGCAGAGCTTGCTTCTCCCTGATACATGAGTGCATTTAATGTCTGCATAAATCATCCCAGACTGTCTTCACCTTCTGTGCAGACTATTATTCTGCTATGAAAGAAAACAACACCGCAGGCGAGAGAAATTGGTGTGCTGAGCTTTTTAGTATATGGACAAAGGAAATGTATGGAAGAAATGTGATGTTTTCTTTCATTTCAATGTGTTTCATGTCAAAGAGAACTTTAGCACTTTAATGGGTAGCTCTCCCAGTGGAGAAATGCTGACTGGAGTGCTTCATTAAATGTCAGGAAATAGAGGGATTTGTTAAGGATCTCTGGAGTGGGACTAATCTGTTTCTTGCAGGGTTATGGAAGTAATAGCCATGGAAAACAAACCTTGCACTTCCTGTGGCATCCTCCCCAATGCATAGCTGTGTTTCCTACTGGGCCCTGTCTCAAAGCACAACTTTGTTAAATTTTACTAATTATCAGATGAGATGAGCAAGTACCACTTGTAAGTTGCTCACCCTTGACAGTCTACAGCTCTGCAACTGCTTCAGGAACCTCTGTGCATGCTGAGCCCTGGTTCCTGGCTCAACACCAGCCGTCTCAACAAACTCTGTGCTGCAGCTGGGCTGCTTGCTGCTGAACTTGCCTTGCTTCACAGCCTTGACGTGTCTTATTGAAGTTATTTTGCATTCCCCTTTACATAGCCCTTCCTTTCATTTCAGCTGCAAGCATAGCCCACTTGGTCTGTGCAGCACGTGGTGTCTGAACTCCAACAGGAAAACTTGTCATTGTCACCTCTGTCAGGCTCCTCTCCAGTCCCAAGGCATTTTGCAAGTCTCAGCTTCTGGGTGCTTCCCTGTCTCTCTCATGCACTAGTGTAAGCAGCTTTTCTACTTAATGACCACCTAGGATCCTTAAAAACATGTTATTTCCATCTGAACAAGAAAATCTCCTTGTGAGAAACACTTTGGACCTGCCCATGCAGGGCATCTGCTCCCACTGAGGACCCCAAATATCTCCCACAGGTTCATGACCGCCTGGACCGATATTGCTGTGGATTCGAGCCTGACGCCTCCGAGCCCTGTGTGGAGGAGATGCTCCATGAAAAGTGTCGAAACCCATCCGAGTTGTTCCTGGTGCACATCCTGGTATGTCCCCAGCCCCTGTGATCCCTTTCTGCTGCCCATGTCCCAGAGGTTGCTCTGGACAAAATGTCAGATCCCTGGGCGGTGCTGGCAGCTGCAGATCCCACCAGTTCTCAGGGTTACTCAGTGCATTAAAAAGCCAGCCTAAAACACTAGGCTGGTGACTCCCCATGGTAGGCAAGCTTCTCCTTCCCACCTCTGCTGGCAGGTCCGGAGGAGCGCTCCATCCCAGCTGGTGTTTATAGACAACGCAGGCCGGCCACAGCAACCAGAGTCAAAGCTCAACTTCAGGCTGCTGCAGGGCATAGACAGGTGAGATGGGCAGCGCGTGAGCACTTGGTGGGGTATCTCCTCCCTACCTTCCTGTTTCTCATGTGCAGGCTTTGATGATTTCTGGGTCAGTGTACCTGATGGCAGACTCCATCTCCGTTCATCATTTCAGCTTCCCAGAGACAGCTGTGGCCACACTGAGGTCGGGCTGCCTGACCCACAGGCTGCTGAAGTCGCTGTACAGGGACCAGGAGCTGTGGGAGAGCCAGGGAGGTGCTGCAGGGCTGTGGCCTCTGCTGCAGGTCCTGGAGAGGCGGGGACAAATCCTGCTGCAGTACCTCCAGGAGCACAACCTGACTGTGGTGAGGGACACCCTGCGCTGAGCCCTGCAGGTCTGCAAAGTGAAACTGAACGTGGGTTCTTGCTTCTCCAAAAGGTGTCTTTTTATTAACCCCTGTTAGTGGGATGTCCTGGGAAAGGACAAGGGGTTGTGGGGTGTAGGAAAGAGGAAGAGGAGACTTTCTGAAACAACCAACAGATGTTTGGAAAGGCATTAAGCAAGATTTATCACACAATCTGCTCAACGTGGAGTTTTCAAAGAAGGAGAACATCTGTGAGATTTTGGATGCTCCCAAAATAACAAAAGTAGAGACTCTGGAGTGGTGTGGGGAAAAGCAGAGTGAACCCTAATGATCAAGGACAAATCCCCAGAGCTGAGCTCTGCCTTCTCCCGTGGTGGAGGTGACGTATGCCTATGTCTGCATTAAGCTTTCTCTAAGGCTTGCAGATAAATCTTACCAAACACCCCAGACACCTTCGACAGAAAGTAACCAAGTGCAAAACGCCATCTGAGGATGCTGATAACAAAAGAGAGCCTGCCCCCCCTTTATCATATCTTCCAGCATTGCCCACCAGTCGAGCTGTGTATACATTGATACAATAGTCAGGATCGAGAGCCCTGAATGAAGTAGAGGAGACCATCAGGGGTGCCTCTGCACACTGCTGCCCTGTTGCCCTTGAGCTGGAGAAAGTGTCCACCCGTGCAGCCAGAGAGGCAGAAAGCAGGCACTCACACTGCTCCTCTTGCATCCATCTCAGCAGTGTGTCAGGTTTAGAGCCTGCCAGGGGATACTTTTGTAGCCGTGCTGATAAGTGTAGGCAATTACCTTTTCCTCTTGCTTAAGAGAAGATGAAGTGAGGCTGGAGTGACATTAATCAGGGAGCGTGAGTGCTCTCAGAAAGCACTGGTATTAGCCTTGCCTGCACCTCAGCATCCTGAACGCTTTGCTGTGGTCCTGCCCTGGCGCTGGCAAGGGAAAGCCTATCTGCCATCATCATCTCCTCCTCTGCCAGGGTGGCCTGCATGAGAATTCGTTCTGAGGAGGTTTGTAAGAATGGAGGAGAACAAAATAACTCATCCTGGGTCCAAAATGAATCATCCATAATAATAAATGAGATTGATAATCATATCATATCATATCAAATTGATAATCAAATCGTAGAATCACTAAGGCTGGAATCATTAAGGTTGGAAAAGAGAAGATCACCTACCACCACCACGCCCACTCAATTATGTCCCTCAGTGCCACATCCACGCAGTTCTTCAACACCTCCAGGGACGGTGACAGCACCACCTCCCTGGGCAGCCTGTGCCACTGCATCACTGCTCTTTCAAAGAAGAAATTCTTACTCATATCCAACCTGAACCTCCTCTGGTGCAACTTGAAGCCATTCTCTCTCATCCTATCGCTGTTAGAGCAGCTGGGAGCAGAGGCTGACCCCCACCTCACCACAGCCAGCTGTAGGTCTCCCCTGAGCCTCCTCTTCTCCAGACTGAACAACCCCAGCTCCCTTATGCTCCAGACCTTCACAGCTTCATTGCGCTTCTTTGAGCATAATAAACATAATGCAATGGAACATAATGAAATCCAGAAAACACACCATGGTAAGCTCCATGGTAGCTGTGGCATTAGTTTGGATGTGTAGCATTAGTCATAGTCATTAAAATGAGAAACTTCACTAAAAGAGAGTTTGTCATCCCATGCAAGTCGAGTTCTCAGCAAGGAGAGAGGGGAAGGAGGGGTGATGCACAGTGGCTAAAGCTGTTTGCTTTTCTGGGCTGAGTGGCAGCCTTTACTGTGCTTCTGATTGCATCGGCTTGACCTTAGCATTGCATGAGATACTGGGGATCTTTCTAGCTTTTTGGCATTTCCTTACCTGTAACATGAGTTTGCTGGCTTAGCAGATATGGGAACATCTGTGAGCCTTTATGTACCTGAATCAAAATTCGTATATCTGCCCAGTACAAACAAGCTCTCCTGTGACCCCAGGCATGAACACCCAGTAACATTGGCATAAGCATCCCCCAAAAGCATGCCACCTGGAAAAACAGAGGAGGAGTGCCTGTGGAAGAAGGAAAGTTTCTCCACAAGGCCTTCTTGCAGCTTTTGCAGGCTGCTACTTGACCTGCCCATTGCAGCCATAAGACACCAAATCCTTCCACCTTTGCAGATCTTGCTGAGCATCCTGAGCACCCACTGAGAACCATGAGATCCCTGCTCATGTAAAGGCATACACACAGTCAGAAGGCTGGAAGCCCTGGAAGCTCAGCCCTGTGCAAATGTATTGTTAAATCACTGGATATAAAAATAATCCGCCTTTCAGAAAGCAATTTATTTGTGCTTTAGGTACTTGCTTAAATATTTATGTGGAAAAGGAAAAAAAAACACCTCTCTGACATAAGAATATCATTGTAGCAATGGCTTTAAGATTAATGGGAGCAAATTAGCCTGACGTTTTATTTACGTCCAGCAAAGAAATAGATAAACTCTCCTCATGATGGATTTTCTTCATTAGTGGAGAGAATGCCTAAGGTAAGATTTCAACATTGTTTCCGTCAAGTGTTTGGACAAACGGTTTATCAAAAGGGTGTAAAATCGTCGGGAAATGGAGCAGATTAATGACCAGTGGAGGGGAGATCATGGAATTTATGACATAAGTAGCAGCATCACTGGAGCCTAGGAAGCAGCTTATTAGATAAGCAACGTATGCCTCCACGCACAACCTGAAGGCTTCGCCGGCATACAGCAGATTTACAGCTTATAGAAAAAAAGGGGCTGAAACAGTGAGGCAGTGCTTGGTTTTCACCTGGTGCTCGGGTGAAATATCCCCATAAAACCCCGTGTCTGCTCACAAGCGTGGCTGCCCCAACCGAGCTCATGGTCAAAGCATCAGAACTCATTTTTGTGTCTGAATGACTGACACAAGGCACTCTCCCCAGGGGTTTTTCTGAAAGTGGGTGCCCTGCTCTGTCAGGGTCTGAGTGCAGGCAGTTCTGTGGCTTGCTGGGAGTTATGGTGGGCTTCACCCCCAATTATGGCTCCCCAGGGAAAACGCTCCTTCACTGCAGTAGGGCTGCCAGTTGTTTTACTCCCTTGCTAGAGCTCGTGAACATATTATTTCTCCCCAGCTAAAAACCTCTTAGGCTTTAGGGAAAATAACCTTGTCTTTGAGCCTGTGCAGCAATAACACTGTCCACAACTTATTTTGAAGGGTTAGGAAGCTATTACAGCAGTAATAGTAATACCAGTAACAACAACAATAACATCTGGGACGTTGCCGGTCTTTTGATTCTTCTAAAAAAATCCCACAGCACTGAAGGTTCGTGGGTCCCATACGGCTCCTCCACCAGTTATCTCTGGAATGATAAATAGCTGTCACATTAGGCAAGCAGGGGAAAGGAAATTGGGAAGCAGTCCCTCCCCCACAGTGGCCCATAGCCACAGCCCACAGGCATGTGCTCAGGTTGGCCAGATGCACAGGAGGGGCTTTGGTGTAAGAACGCCTAAGAAAGTCCAGGTTAAATGGTGCCATAAATCTCCAAGGTTTGTCTCCAGCAGGTGGCATGGGCTTGACAGGGATCCAAACATAGAACCATCTAGGTTGGAGAAGACCTTCAAGACCACCGAGTCCAACCATTAACCTGAACTACATGTCCCATCACTAAACTATGTTTCTTACTTTCCCATCCACACATCTCTTCAATATTCACAAGGATGGGGACTTCACCAACTCTTTATCCTAATATTATCTGAAACACATCCAGAAGACGAGTTCTCTTTACTCTGACCTTCTTACCACACCTACTGTGCTTCTTTTTGTGTGCCTTTCTAATGTGCTTTCCCTTTGCCACTGCAAAAGCAGGCTGATGGATGAATACAGCTGTGCAACCACCACCAGAGCTGGCAGCTGGAAATATGAATCAGAAGCAGTTCTTCCAGAGAAGGAGTAGTCTATAACGGTCCACGTTTGCATTTCCAGAAACTGGGATCATCTCCCTGACTCACTTTGCAGATGTGGATTAAGGAATATCCTAAACACACAGGCATTACTGATGAAGTGATGAAACAACCCCTATACTGAGGCTTTTATGAGGTGGACTGTGTGTGTGTGGACAAGCTGCATGTCACACAGACACCTGTGGGTTTTTTTCCGTCCAACCAGCCCTTGCAGGGTTGTTTTGGCCCACACCTCAAGCCTCTTGCTTGAGGTCCTCAATTGGATGTCTTCATGGCTCTGTCTGGGTCAAAAACCTTGAATGGTGTGAAGGCAAAGCTCCCCAGAACTCATTCTCTGGGGCTATTTTGACTTCCCTTTCTGCCTCCTAAAACTCCAGCTGCCTTTCAGTATTGTGGAACTGATGGAGATTAGCAGAAGCCTCCAGTGCACAGGCTACGAGGCCACTCCATCAACACTGACATTAACTCCTATTTCATCTAGTAACTATTTTCATTGCTAGTCCTTCTCATTTCTTGTGATTTGTGATATCCAGGCACCGTAGGGACTTGTGTTACCTGTGGCATATCTACCACAAACAACAAGCAGGAGGCAGGGAAGAGAAGTCTGATCTTTCCCTCGGTTCATGAGCTCTTGCCTCCCTCTCACTTTTTGCATAAGGATTTTGCTTGACAGTTCTGTGGTTTGTCACTGACTGCCCAACAGTGCTTCCCCAGCTGTGTGTGTTCTGCTGGCTGAACTGCCTGCAACTGCAGGCACGGGAAAAGCTCTCCCACTCCTGCTTTTTGGGCAGATTTTGTGCCGTTTGATTTTTTTTCTTTTCCCCATATCCAGAATTAGTGTAATGGGACACAGTGGCACAGGCTTTGCTGTGAGTATTTATGCAGGTGTTGGATTTTAATTGACCATGCTGGCTGCATCACGTAAGCTCCAGGGCTGATTATGTACATAAACAAATGAATTTTTTATCGCTTTGACCTCTCCTGAAACAAGTTCTTGGCTCCTCTGAATTAAATACATTAAAAAAATGGATCTGTTAAGCCAAGCAGCAGATTTGGGTTTCTAGAAAGTGCTGACAGGATACCAG